TGCTCTCTACTGCTAAGCAAGATCGATCAGACCAGAGCTCATGCTATTCTTGGAAGCTAAAACTTGACAGTCCTTCTGTACGTTGCTTTGTGCAGAGATAAACCTGACTGACACCAGCACGTGTAATACAGGCGACAGTTAATTCTTACCAAATTATATCCTCTTCAATATTCCGTTTAGGTCTGTCCTTTTCTCGAAAAAGGGACTGGTCATTTCAAAATTGACTACGTGACTTGATCACTCTTACTCAGTTATTCATTTGTCTTCGCTGCACTTGTCCCAAATTAGGGACTTCAATATTTTTAGCAGAGTCGACGTGGACCTATGCCAGAGTTTAAATTTAGCGCTCACTAGCTTTAATTTGATCGATCTTTCGGCTTAAGGCCATGTCATCGACTCATCAGATTTAAGAAAGAACTTTCGTAGCTTATCTTCTCCATACAAGCATATGGTAAACCCTATTATAAGCCTCCGGCAGACGGGGAGCTTACGGAGAAGAGGGGCTTATCTATGAGGGGCTTATCTATGAAGGACTTAATCTCAAGGGGTTTATTGAGGGAGGGACTTCATTGATGAAAGCAAAATGCGTGATTTATCAATTTTCATTTTAACCATCGCCAGCTTGGCTTTAAAACCTGCAAAATCCGAGAAAGAAACTAGGAAATGTTTTCAAATGGGGTCATACTTTGTAAAACTTTACAAATTTTCCAGTTTTAATCATTTACCTGATAAAACTCCTTTTGTTCAGTGAAAATCCGGGCAGAAGTTGTAAACCACTCGAGTGAAAATTCTTAACCCTCTTTAAGATGCTATCAGAGGAAACAGCTGCAGAAAAACCCAAAAATCTTATGTATTTCAAAGCCAATTTTTATAGTCTTTAAGTAGTGACGCATCGAATGTTTGTGATATTTTCAAGTTGTGCCCGCCTCGTCTTATGCCACAGGGCAACCACTAAGGATTTCTAAAATGCGCATGAATGATTCAGTGCCACGTTCCAGAACCCGAATGTCGCCAATTTAAATTCGTAATGCTTTTAAATAAAATAAGCTTTAGGTTTACTACTGCATCTAATTTTCTTAGTATTCCAACGGTCTTAAGAACATGAGATCAAGTAAATTCTAGTTACTTTCGAGGAAATTTTTAACAAGATATGAATGAGCGTGTCCAACAGTTGCATTTTTCAAGATATGCATTTACTAAAATTACAAAACCATATTCTCTCGATATCTTACTTAAATTTGAATTTAATGTTTGGATGCACAGAACTAGGCATTGCATGATCATGTAGGCTTGAAAAGACCTCTGGAAAGTTCAAACCACAGATTCCTCATAAACCTTCGGGACGGTTTCAGAAGAGAGTTCATTTGTGATTATGCGATCATATCAGTAGTTCAGTGGAAATAAAATAAATACATTCTGACATAACTTCCTGAGTTTGTAGTTATTTTCAAAGTTCAGACATCCTTCAAAACTTTTCCAGGTTACTTTACAAATTGGTTATATTCCAACGGGAGAAATTTCGATTGAAATTCATTGAGAAAATATTCGCCCGCTCATATTGGAGAGATTAATTTACTAAATATTTCCTTTGCAGATTAAATCAATAGTTCTTTTTCCGGTTTCCAAACGCAAACGAAAGTTAAGATAAGCCCTTGATATGTTTAACAAACAAACCTTTTCATTTCAAATATCACAAAAAACCGAATGTAGAAAATCTCATTTAGCGCAGTGATGCGGTTTACTTGATTGCTATGTTGGGCCTGTGCGGTTCATGAGAAGGTTCTATTAAAAACTTCAGACAGAGCTCGTTTGCTAAATATTCGGTTTGGATAAGGCATCACGCTGAATTTGTAGCTCAACCTTGAAAAATACTCTTTTTTCCCGAATGCAATTTGCCACCCCTTGCACTGGTGTGAGCTTGGGTAAACTGGTCGAGGTTTATCTGTAGCTCTTGGGTTTAACAATCAAAATCTCTTCGCAGGAAAAGAAGAGCTTTAATCATTTTGACTTTCATTAAAGATTTTTCGTTCAAGAATCGTTTCTACAAAATCATATACCGTTTGGCGGTGTAACGACCTCTCTTGTCAACGCTGAGTTGACAATTATTTTTGCTAAAAGTCACTTCCCGATACGTGATTGTGGAAAGGTCATAATGCTTGAGTTAAAGACATTCTTAATTAACTTACTTAATTACTATATTCCGCCTATCTGCGGGATATACTACCACAAAAAGATATTTTAGTATAATCGCACAGAAAACATAGAAATCTTTCACAGTTTGATTTTGTATTGAACTGTCTTGAAGAGTGAAGTTGTGTCTGCTACACACCAGCAAACAACTTTCTAGGAATTCTGCATCTTGTGGCAGTTCATTAAAATGGATACCACGAAAATACCGTGCATTCGTGTATCAGAGAACAAATTTAGAAAAAATTAAATATAGCGTAATGGGATGTAGATGCCATGTCTACCAAGGTATCTTTCAATACAAGGTACGTCTGGACACGAAATTTTAAACTAATAAATCGCACGAGTCGTAAGCGTGCGCGCCATTTATCTATGCCTTGCTTCCCCAGGGAGCTCGACACTGTTACATAGTTCACAGCTTGTTAGCATCTACACGACTTCGGAGGGTTGCTATCTTTACCAAGACAGGACGACGAGGCTCTTAGCGGAACAACTTTTCTCAAGGACGTGGTGTGTTTGCTTAAGTTTTTATTTAGAAATTTTCGTCTTATTCTTGGTTAGCGTGAACCTCTAAACATACTTGAGGTTTAGGGTTGTTTCCTGTTGGTCAGTGTTGCGCTCTGAAGAGTTTCTGTACAGAGCTGTATTTGCTGTGGTTCTCACGCATGCAGGAAAAAATAAAAGGGACAAAAAAAAAAAAAACGTCCATATGACAAGCGCATGCAGATATTGTGAGGGTTGCTGGATTGTAACACGTCCCAATTCACGGCAGTATAAAGCTGTCGATATTTACTTCAAGACATGACTTTTAATGACCCCTAGGTACATTGTGAAGGACTGGTTAGACAGCACGTCGCGCGCAGATATTACAAAGAGAACAAAAACCCACGAACGGCGTGGCCTTAGAGACACGAAACACGCACCCCTCGGAAGAGAGCTCTTAACGGTTATCAATCATGGTTTAAAATAGTTTTTCCTCGTATTTTTTTGCGGCCGCTGCATTAATCATCCACCGCAACGATGTTGGTCGGCGTTATGTGTTTGTAATTCAGGCCATTTGAAAAACGTGATTTATTCATTAATGCGACTTAGCAATGTTAACATAACCACTGTGGATATTGGCGGCTGTTTACAGTATTGGCAGTAATTTGTGAGTGACAACGATTGGTCGTATGCCGGCCGCAAATCAGAGTTCAATTAGCTTTATTTACCACTTACAATTAAACTATTTACATTGAAGGGTGCTGTTCCGTTCTGTTCAGGTATGCGATAAACACCGTTTTGTTTCTTCTTATTATTATTCTTTTTTGACACAATAATTTAAAAATTGGTTGCCGGATGCACGCTTCTCTAGGCTAAGCTGCTTCCAACCACGCGACAAGATGTTAGGTTTTGGTGAAAAGAAATTCTATAGAATATTTGAAATCTGGCTTCGGATCTTGAGGATTATCCCTGATTGTAGATCTATGCAAACTTTATCTTTCAAGTATTTTATATGCTCTTAACTACTTTAAAATGGAGTCTTGCATCTATAGCCACAATCCGTCGTCATTCCACAGCTTGCAGATTTCATGTTTTTAGCGCCAAAAAGTCTTGTTCGCCGTGGGGCTCCAGCTAAATAACTCGTATTGATCTTGTTAACTAGATCAAGATACTATTCAGAGAAGGAATTAAGAACAGTTAACCTGTTTAACTAGCTTATATGCTTAGTAAATAATCGGATAAATTTGAAGACAATAAATTCTGCAGCCCATTTCGTCGCTTTTGAATCAGCTTACACCGTAGTTAGAAATGTAGGAATCAGTTTTTTTTTTTTTTTCATGCGGGCGTTGATAGAGGGGTTTTTCATAGTGCGTGTTCACTGCTCATCATTTAGTGTTGTCAATGACGGAGGTGAATGTTTGTTGTTAGCGGATTAAAACAGTCACTTTAGACCAGAAACTTCGTCATTTCGGAGCCATGCTAATGCCAGATGACTGGTCGACGGAAACTGTGTTGTAAACTTATCTGACACTAAAATTAACGTAGATTGTAATACAAACATAGTTCTTAATTCTAACGCCTTAACACCCGAGAAAATCTGTTGTTTTAATCTTGCCTAATACCTTTTTATTGATGTATGAACCTCACACGCATAGTTAACCAATATTCCACATGCAAACAACTTTGGAGAACTTTAAATTAGTTTCCAATATGAGAGGATGTAGAGGAAATCATTAACTGGAGTCACCTCGTTTTTTACACATTTTACACTTGAATGTAATAGTAATTACCTCGACACTCAAGTAATTCACGTCATATTTAAAAGTAGTCCTACTTCTTTACTAAACACAATCGACCTAATTGATCCGTAATGCAACAGTTTTTACAAGGAACTTAATCCATTAAATGTGTGCATTGTTTCGTTCAAATGAACAGAAAAGGTTATTCATAAATCAATCTTTTCTCTCGGGTGTTCCCGTACGAGACTTGAAGGCGCTGACACTCCCATAGAGAACAGGGCCGAGACGATTGGAAACACGGGTTAATGTGCCAGTAAATGTTAAGTCAAATGACTTTCCAACTGTATGAGTCGTGAATGCCTAATCTTAAAAAGATATCAAGAGTCTTTTGGACAAAAGAAAAGCCATAACTAGGTTAATTGTTTTTTAACCTGCGCTTCCGTTTATTGTTAAATGAAACCGAAACCTTAAATATGCGAAATTGGAAATTCAAGATATGCTCGCATCTCTCTCAGTTCCAGGAGGATGTAGCCCATTCAGGTATTGACCCGTGCTGACTGAAGATCTTTCAAATCCTATTTTAGAGCCGATTGAAGTCGCGCTGTGACGCCATCAAGACCCTAACGTTTATTACTAACACTCCAGAGGGACTCGTTCAGTTGACCAGTCAGTCAAGACAGCGAAGCCATTTCGACAGCTCTTTAAACGCAGCTTTGTGCCTTTACCCTGCGGATAATTACATCGACAAGTCATTAGTATCAGTCGTCGAACTGAAAGGTAAACTTGATCGGTGTTTTTTGGTTTCTAAGTATTCGATTCGATTTTTTTCGCTTGGTTGGCACGCGATGTATTTAACGAATATTGCGCACACATGTAATATCCACGTTGACGAAATGGATCATCGAGGTTGTGAAATATCCAAAGAGACTATTGAAAAACAAAGAAACGGGTGGGATTAATGGACGAAAAAAAAAAGAGTTGATGTAAACACAATCTCGTGAGATAAAATCGTCGTGTTACGCAGACACCACGATGTGATGAAATGCTCTTTCAAATCAAAATTCTCACAGGCATTTTGCTAAAATCACATTGATAAGCCGACGTCTAAGTTACATTAAAAAAAAAAAAAAAACAAGACAAGCTTAGACTTTCTAAAACCTGGCGACAAACAGGGCTTTGCGACGACACAACAAAAACAGAGGGTAAAGCGACAGTTCAGTCTCAAAACTCCGCCAAATTCGTAATTTTTGCAACTCCATCACGTACGCAATTTTGAAAGGGAAATTTGTCGCTGGCTTCTTCCTATCCACCCATTCGTCCTTCCCCCTCCCCCCCCCGTACCCTCGAGATTCTCGAAGTTGTCGTCAAAGGAACAAATCACATTGAAATAACAATTCTTAAAACTTATTTATATGAAACAACACATTACGATAAAGAAACTACATAAAAAGGACCATGTAATGCGTGCCCTGCGCCAGCAGATAAAGCCGTCAAACGACGTTGAAAAACATTTTCACAATCGACGAAGTCTACATTCTTCTAGAACACACACATGAGCGAAAATGTCGAGCAGGCTCTGACTACAACGGTTGATAACGATCTTCTAATCATATCTTGAAAAAAATTCTATACATTTATAACGGATTTTTGTGTGTCTCTTCGTGTTTGTAAGTTCATTTTGTGCTACAGTAAGCCGGAAGACTGTCGCGCGCCGCGAGGAACTGCATTTTCCCGAAACAAATTCTACGGATCTTTACGGCGCCCGTGATCTGGTTACAGACCGTTTCAGTTTTCTCGGAGGATTTTCAACAATCGAGTCTTATGACTTTGTTTTTCGAAAAAAGCTCGTAACTTTCAGAGTTTTAAGTACCTTTCATCCAGACACAATAAGAAAAAAAAACCTTTGTGGCACAATATCGAAACTTGTTACAGTTTTCACCTGAAACTCTTATTAAGTAGTAGCTGCTTAACATTAGTTTTGTCAACGAGTGCCAAGGCAGAAGTAGCCGAGAGAGGCAGGGGGGGGGGAAGGGGTGGGTTAGCACGCGAAACTATGAAAACATCTTTTGCTGTTTACATTATACCATGGTAAGTTTACGAAATTCCACCGCCGACGAATACAGGATGTTTTCATGAAATCAGAACTGCTTGGGAGTCAGAAATCGTGATTGAAAATCCCTTTCTCGATTTATTGACGTAATCGGTTGTATTTGTCTAAGCTGCACCATAAATTTCATCAGATTAGCCACTAGCTGTAGTAATAACGGCTGTGGATCGCTGCGTATGCCGTTTCTGCATCGTCATAAATTTTCTGCTGATCTGTGAACAATATTGTTTCAGAAAAAGTACCGTCTCTACGTAAGTACAGATCCTTTTTAGTCAGATACTGTGAAAGATTTCGATATTTTACATTCGTGACCGCAGCTCATAGGAACAGAAAACGAATTACTGTAAGTTGTAGACGTTTCAGAGTTATGAAGATCAGTACAATATTAAGTGCCCCTGGTCCTAGTATAAGGATCATAGAATGAACGAAAACGTTAAGACTCTTGGAGAACAACAAGTCCTTGCCAAATGGACAACTTGTTTGGTAGCACGCAGGTCAAGTAATGTCAGTGACGTCACCTGTACCGAACAGTGATATTTCCTCATTAAAACACACAACAACTGAGAGTCGTTTAAGTATCGCATTCTCTCCTATTTTCAAAAATCGAGTAGTCTTTCCTTCAGTTCTGTGTTCCGCTGGACAAATTACTGAAAAATTTCGGTCCACCGCCGTTCCAGTCTCTAACGTGTGTGCAGATTTCATTTTTATGGGCGAGGGACATCGCTTCCTCGTTGTTTACAAATTTCTCGGCTGTGAGAGGAAACGGCGTTGAAGAAATTTTCAACCCAGGTATTTCAAAAACGAAACTTAAGGCGCAGTGGAAGACACAATGGCTGAGAAAGGAATAAAACCGTGGATAAAAATGTCAACTGTTGTGGTAAGCCGTGGGAAAATGCGGTTAGCTCTTCTTAAGAAAAATTGCTTAACTGATGTTCATAACTTGTGAGGCGATTTTCCCATTGTTTCCATTAATAGGTCACCCGTGTAGCTAATGAGAAAGGCGAGGCGCTAAAGTGCTTATGAAGAGTCTTCCGGCCAAAAGACTGTATTGTGACAAATCGAAGACAAATTGGAGTCTGAAAAGTTCATTGATTGTTCAAAGAGGCGCTGCTTTTGTAATCGCAATGAACAATCGCATGCATTCACCAGGTTTCCGGAGCAGTTTTCATCAATATACGATATGCAGATAAGTAAATGACGATAAATGTCCTCTGTGGTTTCTAACGGAAGATGGAGCAGCTACGAAAGTGCTTGTCTTACAAGGAGTGCCTTGTCGTTAGCTCTTCAAAATGAAAATCATTACTTACTTTGCAAACGCACATAAAATGAAGATGAATTCGACAGGTTATAAGTGGAATCTTCTTGAGCCTGGTTAGTTTGGATTTTAACTTATGCTTGCCTAATACAGAAGATAAAATCGAGGAATCTCTCCTAAGACTTTGATGGGAAATTCTTACAGCCGTGTTGCAGAAACGGCCGAACTTTCGTCTGAGCTTTGATATACAGTTACTTTCTTCCGCACAGAGGAAGTTTTTCAAAAGAACGTTCTCTCTTTCCCTGTGCTATCTTTTTACATGTTTGCGTACGGTAAATATCACCGGCTGAGTTTATTCGTTTTTTTCGCTTATTTTTCCCGTATCGTAATCCACTTGCCTTTATCTACCAAGGGGAAGAGATAAAAGTAGCGAACCTTGAGAAGACGGATTGAAACTGAACTAGTTGTGTGGGCTTCAAATCTCCTTTTGACAACGTTCTCAAATGCGCTGTCGAACCGGAGACATGGCGACGGGTATTTTCTCTTTTGTTTGGTGCTAAGAGCGTTATTATTTGAAAAAGAACAAGCGATTAGAAACGATTAAGTGTTATAAAAAATATAAAACCGCTTGGAATTTCTATTTTGGTTCGTCTGATCCACAATTTTATTGTGGAGACCCTTAACATTTCCCAGACCCAACTGAACTTTTTATTGTGCATTACAGCGTTTTTACATCAAGAGTCCTCTTTTGATTGGTCGATCTGGCATTACCACGCCAACTCGGTTAGCAACCGTCGTTCTCAAAACTCTACAACCTTATTTCTACAGATTATAAAAAAAAAAAACACGATAGATTATGGAAGAAAGCGATTATCAAGGAGGGGGTGGAAGAACGTACATAAGGTACTAAGAAACTGCAGACACTTCCAAACTTGATTGCGCACGACACTTGATAGCGGCAATTTTGATTGACAAATGATCGCCTTCACACCGGCGTAACATAACTCCCTTAGGAAAAGGTTTCCTTTTATTGGTTGCAATTACTTTTTTGTCATGTCAGCGAAGGCAAATAGTGTAGAATACCAGCAGAATAGCGTCCTGAGTTGACTCTTTTCCGATTACTTGTCTGATCAGAGAAAAAAAAGGACAGGGTCATCTTTGGACATTCCGCTGCGCGAGCTCTGAGGCTTATCTCTGGCGCAACCAGTACAGTACTTCCCGCTAGCTGTAAACAATTATACAAGTCTTTGGAGATAAGACCAGCGGAATGCGCTAGGCGATAAAAGATCCCTAACATAAAGGCTTGCCTCGTGTAATATCGTGCGCTTAGAAGCTCTTAGAAGTTGTACAAATCAAAATCAACCGACTCTCCTGTCGGCCAGTCGCGACTGAACGATTTAACAGCAAAGCCGATTTAGCCACTCTGTACGCCTAGCTGCCCGCGAACAAATGCAACACGTCAACGGACATTATTAAACAAACAGTCTCGATTACTCGTAATGGGTCGCGATATTTTTGTTTAAAAACGATTACTGAACTTGTGTCTCCGCAGCGAGGGTGTAACACAATATCCAAGGCAATCGAGATTTGGTCTGGTGGGAGATCATCACACTGTCAGTTGGTTTGAAGAGGGCTCAGAGTTAAGGTTGCGCGCAAGTTCGGTGCTCCACAACAAGTAGAGATACACAAGCACATCGAAAGCCTGCAGCCATGGAATCCGTGATTCATCTAGCTGCACTTTCCACGTTACTGATTCTACAAATTCTTTGTTTCCTTGGAGGAATTAAGGTGAGAGGATAAACATTAGTGATTTCACTAGTTCTGTCGTGTCCTTCTTGTTTCCGGTTCTCCGCAGTTTACATAGAAAACCCATTTTTACAGCGTTATTAATAGGCGAGTGACAGATTGCCATTGGACGTTGAAAATACTTTTTATCTGCGCTGACACGGGACATTATACCATACTGTCCCGTTTTTGTCTTCCTGCTGGGAACGTAGGGGGGCAATTTTTGACGTGTTGTTATGTTTGAAAACTCGTAAGTTTATGTTATCCCAGCGGCGCTTTCATACACAATAAACAAACTAGTTTATTTAGCTCGTAATAACAAAGCCTCACTACTGTGTGCATCTTATTTTAGCGTACACTGTAGCTAATGACAGTGTGAAAGCATCATTTGTCAGGCATATTTAATATAATGTTATTGAGTGAACTTTGCAGATGTCCGGCGTTTGTTTCGCGTGTCGTACAAATCGTACTGACTTTTTGCTAGCGGTGTCTCGCAGGGTGTGGACACTTTACACACGGCAAGAGACGTACCCACGTAGATAGAATTGTTGAGTTAACTTTTCTTATGAACATCGAGTAAATTAAAGTACACGAGGGTTTCGAAGGTAGGTCGACGTGTTCTCGGTTTGGAGAGGTCACGAGGGCACTCAGAAATACACTAACCGTACAATTCAATCACGCGTCAAACTTGTCGTTCCCAAACGAAGCGCAAAGATGTGTCCAATATTACGACAACAAAGTACTCATCAACAAGTTGAACATTCCTCTTAGAGCTCTTGGATCAATACTAATGGCGCTGAAAACACGCCTAAAATAGGAGATAAATCTATAGTAATACCTTTTTGAAATAACAGCTGACGATATCATCTTATTACTGAGAGTTTCAAAGTCGTGATTGCATTTTCTCTTTTCCTGTCAACCCTTTAACACATAAAAACAAACACATTATGAAAACTTGGTCCAGATCCTTCGACTAAGAGAAAAAAAGTCTCTATTTGAACTCCTTGAGCAGTTTCTCAAGGGCGAATCAACATAGACTGAATCAGCAAAATGCATCCAAAACGTGTTGCGTTTCATTAATGGAGTTTTTCACTCTTATCTGTCCATCCTACTGATTGCGAGTATGGTGGAATTAGATCGTCTGAGCTATTATTCTATGCTGTTAAATCCCATGTGATGGAAAGCAGTGGAGAACCAGAGGTATCTGCGGAATTTTCGTGATTGGAAGTCGTATATTTGTCTACGCAATTACATCAAAGTGAGCGCGTTATGTTAGGACAATTATTCTGCAATTTCCGAGACCAGGGGGGCCTTCCGCAGTTTGTTATCCAACCTAATGAAGACGTGGTCAATCAAAGAACGACGTTTTCTCATAAGAAGTTCTTGCAGATTGACATCAGCACACGGAAAAAGTTTTGCGATCATCGCAGAAGTTTGGACGTGACTATATGCGCGCAAGGTTGTTTTCATGAGCGAGACTGGCTACCTTCCGTTAGACGAGCAAACTGTTTGCTTAACTAAGCCGATCTCTAGCGCAAATGAAGGGTAAACACGATGTTTACAGAGGTGTATATTGACTTAAGAAAAATTCACTTGTGCTGCTTACTTGCGCGAACGTCTCAGGTCACTAAACGGTAAACGGCGCGAGTTAAATAGCTAGTTATGAAGTTAAACTACATCAAAATGCTTTGACGCGCGGCTTTGATTGATAGTACTTTTATTGATCTTTTAATCATATTATAAATATTTCTCTTGCTTGGAATTGTCATGGGTGTAAAGTGAAGTGATTTTCTCCAAGATGAGTCGTTTCATCCGCCATATGTTTTTACATTCAGAGACAAGGTTAATTCGAAGATCGTAGCTATGACGGCGAATTCGCTCCATCTAAGTTAACAATAGATTACTGCGTATTTCGTCTAAATAGGAAGGTTCTTTTCAACCTCCCTTTTTCATCACTCAACGAGAGAACTGATAGGTCATCCTTTGCAGAGGCATTTGATTTATCAGTCAAGTATTCTGGCTGAAATTTGTGGATTAAGTTTGGTATTAGTAGCTTGGTAACTTATCACTCTGGCAGTGAAGAAGTTCCACATCAACACAACACTTTCTCGTTGCGTCGACCGTTACTTAACTAGAGTGAGGTGTTTGGAAGGAAATTACGTCATGCTATGAAAATTACATGTAGCTCTGTGCTTTACGGTTACTAAATAAGTGGGTGGTTTGGCATCGAATGAAATGCGATCTAGCGGTTTCAAATCGATTTTGCCCTTTGGGGTCTGTGGTAGATCCATCTCAAATTAACATGTCACTAAATGAATTTGGAGGAGCTACTTCAAAACAAAATATATAGAAGAATTAAAAGATATCATGATCAAATGGTAGATAGGGTCGAATTTTTCCGCTTTAGTGACTTTATCTGGAGGTCCTTCTTTTAGCCTGCGAGCAAATCCTCGTCATTAGCGTTTCTGAAGAAAGAGACCCGGAGCATTAGCGTAATTTCTCAAAATAGCACTTCATTACGGCTCGAATCCTTGCCATTGGGAATCATATTTTTTATTTGTAACAGATTTTTGATCAATTTTCCGTTTGGAAAGCGACGTCTTTCTTCCTGGCTATCAGAATTAACCTCCGTGAAAAACAATTCTCAATGATCTCGAATATCAAAAATGTATGACTCCCATTTATTTTAAATCTTCAGAAGCACTAGTAAGCAGGTAATTTCCTTCCCAAGAAAATTCATGATGCAGAATGTCATAAAATTGCCCAAAGGTATTTTGATCAAAGTTAAGTGGACTTTGAGGCATTTATAGACCGCTATTGATCTTGACACAAAAACAAATGAACAAGTACCGGCATTTTTTAATAATCTAAGCCTTTGAAAGCTTCGTGATAAAACTTGAAATTCTTTTAAGTATTTTACTTTCTTCATCTCTGATACTCTTCGGAGAAATAAAACTTTCGAATCCATTGTTTCACAAGTATATAATATCAGTTACAATGTTAGAGGGACTTAACAGCTTAAAAGATCTGGGTAAGCCAATAAAAGATGCAGTCTTTAATTCTCCTCACCAAATCGCAAAGAATATACAATAAAAAAAAAAGGAGATTTGGGAATTTAACAGTAAAACAGACTATAATTTTCTTACAGGTATTCGCACCAAGATCTTTAACAGCATTTAGAATGTCAAATGAATATAAAAGTGTAGATAAAGGTATCTTGTATGTGCGTTCACTATTTCATGTTCCAACATCGCAAATTTTCTTTCCCCGAAAAGTTTCGCATAGTTTGTTTGCTACAGAGGTGCTTACACATCGTCTGAATTTGTCCAGAAGGAATTTCAGGAAAAATTCACGCTCGGGTCACGTTTTAACGCCTTTTAGAATATAAAATTACCAAAATTAATCGCTATTAACTAAATAATCCCAGTCCAAATCATCTCCTGTTTACTTTGCCTGTTTGTGTGAGGCTAAACAGCTAAAACCTCAAGCGGCTTTGCAGTGTTTTAAACCATTCCAGATCTTAACTAAATAGCGAAGAGAAGAAAGAAAATCTGTAGAGAGTTCTGTACGGGCCAACATATGTTTCGTGGAGCAAAACTGTTTCCCCTCAATATTTTCTCACCTTTACTGCAACCTTTACACGAAGGTTTAAAATAGAAAAGGGTCAACACAAGGCGTGAATTGCACACATAGTTCGTTATCAAATGTAGTAATTCTATTTGGTCAATAATTGATTTAATTTTGTGAAAAACGCTGTTAAATAATCTAAAAATAAGTTTATGAAGAACCCGTAAATCGCATGAAAAAAATGACTTTTATCACTTTTTGAAAAGGAAATTCTTTTAATATTTTCTCAATACAACTCGAAAGAGTCAATTTACTTTTATGCTATGTTCCCGCTAAAAAGTTGGTCGAATGTCCCAGTTCTTGAGCCGAGTTTTATAATTTAAACTCTTGTACAATTGAAGTGAAATTAACTTATACAAAAAAAAAATATATATATATATATATATATAGCAATCCGTGTCATTTATCTTTCGCAAGGTTCATTGTTTTGAGAGTTAATCTAAAACTGTTGTGAACCAAAGAACACCATCAAACCAAGGACAACATAAAAGTGTCAATATCTTTATGTTTATGTCCGGCTAAAAGATGACATTGCGAAATGTTTGAGCCGAAGTTGAATTCCACGGCATCAGTGAGTGCTATTTTTAAAAGGCTACAAAACTAATTTTAGCTGTTAGTTTGTGGTAGGGAAATCCCTCTGCATTGTGTTGCATTGTGTTAAAGTTAAATTGTTAGAATTTTGATCCGATCTGTCAAGCGCAGGTCCCGAACGGTTTCCATGTAGCAGTTGTGTTTTTTATGGAGCGTTCCTGACACACGCGACAGGAACGTGGACAAAGGTTTGACTATACTCGTATCTTACCGAGGTTATTACAGTTTCAGTCGTGTCTAATTAATTCTTTTAACGCCAGTAGCACTTGTGAAGGCGTTTTTGAATGTCGACGGCTGATAACGTTGATCTCATTAGCACTTGTGTCTTGCAAAATAAAAATTAACTTTGTTCGTGTTTCGTGCGGTAATGAATTCATATTTGTATTTTAAGCCCCGCGCTTCAACTGGTTGGCAAATGAACAGCGTTCCACAATTTTAGCAATCCTTTTTCGTTGTTTAAACGAGGAAGGCAGCTTTTTGCATTTCATATTTTAGCTTTGGTTGAAAATGTTGTTTGAGAAAACGTAAGCTATTTGGTCAAAGATTACACAGCATTGAAAGAATTTTTCAAATTGGATAAGAAGTTGTTATTCTCTTCAGTCCAATTTAAGGATTTGTCCAAGAATTGAGAGAATTCTACCCTTGTTTAGATTAGCCGACTTCTGAGCGCTCTTTAAGTATGTGGTTTTTGTTATAAATAGTTCATTGCCCATGTTTTTATTTTGCTTTTGTTTCTGATGAACAACACCTTGATGTTAGTAAAAGAAGGTGAATTAAAGCTGAAG